AAGCTGAAGAATTTGGTACAAATCGCTTTAATTTTAGTGTTCCAAGAAAGTGGAAGATAATTTTTTTGAGAAAAGTTGTTGCATTACAACTTTCTCAGTTTAGTAGTTGTGATGGGTTGACCTTAGCTGGCTGCTAGATTTTGTCTCAGCTGTGCTCTCACTTTCCCTCCTCAACAAGACAAAGGCAGAAACTAAGATTAAAAAGGTCGTGAGATGAGATAAAGACAAGGAGACAAATTATCAAGTATTGTCACCCAGTTCAGGGAAAATTCATGTTGCTTGTTGCCTTGAAACTGCAAGAATGGTGAGGTAGAAAAACTAAACTAAAAATATCCTTCCCTCTGCAATCATCTTTCCAGGCTTAACTTCAGTCCTTCATTCTTGACTCTTTCACTTCCTTCTCAGCCCAAGCAGTGCAGGGAGGATGGGTTTTGGTGGGTGATAGTTCTTTAACAGTTCCTCTCTGCCACACCTTCCTCCTCTCGCTTTTCCTTACTCCATAATATGGGTCCTCAAATTGTTTACCATCTTTCCCTAACTACAGCAGAGCAGGCCTTTCCACAGGCTGCAGTTCTTCATGAGCTGCTTCAGAATGGGACTTCTCCATGGGGTACCAATCCTTTGGGAACAGACTGCTCCAGTATGGGTCCTCGACTGGACACATGTTTCTACCACAAAAATGTGTTTCTGTCAGAACTCCTGATGTGGGCAGTAGTTCCTGCCAGGGGGAACTCCTGTGTAGGCTCTCTGTGGCCTGCAGTTTCCTCCACAAACTGCAGTTTGTATATTGGCTCTCATGTGATCCTCCATAGACTGTAGTAAATAATGATCTCCTTCACAGACTGCAGAGGAATCTGCTCGGTGATCTAGAGCACTTCCTGCCTGTACTTCCTTCCTGACTTCCTGTAGTCCTTCTGTCCTTGGTGTCTGCAGGAATCTCTCTCGCATCTTTCCTTTGCTTTCCTCTTTCTCACAGCTGATACTTGGCATTTATTTATTTACCTACTTCCCTTTCTTAAATATGGTATCACAGAAGTGCCACAGAATCTGCTGGTAGGTTCAGCTCTCACCAGCTGTGGGTTGTGGGTGTTTTGGAGCCAGCTGGAACTGGCTGTATCCAGGCACAGAAGCAGTTCTGGTTTCTTCTCACAGAGGCCATTTCAGCATCTAAATTCCAGAAATTAAATTCTAGAGAAATGTTTTTATAAGATAAGAATAAAATAAGGTTTTGTGCCATTAGAAGGCACTAAGTGAAATTAAACACCTGGATATAAAGTACTAGCCTGAATCCTAAAATATGGCAGGAGTGCTTATTACAGTGGTTTGGATTTGATATATAGTGTTTTAGCAGAACAGAAGTAACTCATGTCATGTTTTAAGACTTTTAAGAAAGAAAGGACTATAGCGTAATTGAGAGGCAAGTTACAGAGGTGTACTTAGAGTTGTGTTTTAAGATATAGATGAATGGAGTAGGAGGGCTGACAGTCACGGGTAAACTTTTGGTGATCAAAATGAGGCATTTCTCTCTCCTGAGCTATATTGATAGTATTAATGGAGTTGTTCTCAAGTCTCTTGATATGAAAGTTCGTAGTAGGTAAGCAATGAGCTGTCTACCAGCAGATGAATTAGAAAGGTTGTTTGGTAAACTGCTGTGTCTGGATTGTTAATATCATTTTCTGTCTTGCCTCCTTGAAGCTTTTGACAAGGCGGGACGAGAGATAAATGAGATTTGCACCTCTTTTGTTTCATCTTGCCATTAGAGGTTTACTCGGGAAAGATGACTGTTATGTTTTAGCACTTTTATATTGCTAGTAACATGGGGGGCTGAGATTTATGTATAAAATAGGCTCAGAGTTAGCAGTGTGTTACTTAAATTGTAAACATGTTAATGAAGCATCTAAGTAATGAACAGTATCTTTCTCTTTCTGTTACAGTTTGAGGGTGGCTCTGGATATGGTAAGTTTTCATACAGAACCTTGATACATAACTAATTATGAAGTTATCAAAGGGCTTGGTACATACATTTAAATCAGACTATTCTTATGCAGGGGGACGTGGTTCATATGGAGATCTTGGAGGACCTATCATCACAACACAAGTAACAATTCCCAAAGATGTAAGTAAAGTGATCTTGCTTTTAATTTGTTTAAGATAAAGTCACAGAGATACTCAGAGCAATTTTAATAGTTAATATCAAATAATAAAAATGGTCCATGCAACTTCTTTTTAAAATGCCAGTTCTCCAATTTTATCCCACTTGCATTTATGTACTTGGTATTGG